AAAAAAATTTAATAAAAAAATTATTTCAAAAAAATTAGTATCTGCATATCATGGAGAGATGTATTGCAGACTTGAACATTGAAAAGATATTACATTTAAAATATAAGACATAAAAGAATTCATATTTAATAAAAAAAAAGACATGTCTGCTGCTTCTTAATATTTTTTTCATTTTTTTTAATATTAATAAGAACATCTGTTGAGCAATGAGATGCAATCGTAATGTATCTCAGAGATAATGTTTGTTTAATGGAGTTTTATTACAAAAAATGTATTTCGTATGTGAAATTCGAAAATCAATTAAATTGTGGTTAGAGATACTAATTCAAATAATTGAAATTTATAAGAAAGATGTAAAAGGGAAGTGTTTTTTAGGGATTACTACACCAGTTTTAATATATAAAGTGACTGAATAAATTTACAAGTAGAATTTTGTTCCAATTTTATCAAGTAATTAAGATATTCACAAAAATTGTTTGTAATATTATGACATTTCAGAAAATAGTGTTTTTAAGAATCAAATAATATATGCATAATATAATAATGTTTATTAAAATATCCATAATTTATAACGGATAGTAATTTGATTTTCTTTACACTACCCAATATATAACTGCCTTAGTTGGTGGTTGGTCTTAATAGCAAAGCTTTCTCTTCTGCTTAAGTTAGTATTAATAAAATTTTTCAACATTTCAAATATTTTACACGAGAATAGATAATAGTATATTTAGTCTGTTAATATATAATCCTTAGATATTCTTACAAGTCTTCCTAGATATATCTAAGATCATCTCATTATTAATGTTAGCATTTTTATAACCATTTAAGATATATAATACTTAATAGAAATATAGATATAAGAGATGGTAGACACAAATGGCAACCCGTCACATAAAAGAAGTGATTTTCATAGAATTTAAGAAATGAATCCAGTGTGATTAAAAACAAATCTCTCCAGCGATTTGTATTGTTATAAGTATCGTTAATGTGTGACTATGCAGTAGCAGTAGCTTTGATGTTATGGTTTCACAGACTGTAGTAGAGTTTATTGAACTTAAGCAGCCGCTTGTCCATTGTAGACTTTTTAAGTCAAGGAAACTGCTTTAAAAAACTTTATTCAATCATCTCAGACTTTCACCTCTTTTTTATTACTTTATATGTATATGTATATCTATGCTTCTAATAATCCGATAACAGTCACAGCACGTGGGTCAAATAAGCATATTTTAGAAGTTATTTAATGTTGAATTGGGTCCATTCTGATAGCTTAGTTTATAGTTCAACCATATTAAATGTTCTATAAGAACTCTTTTTTGAATTGGTATTTACTTTGTTGCTTTAATCAAACATACATGACATGATCACTGATCATTGACCAGTGATGTACGATTACTGCCTTGAAGGAAAATGTGATTACCTGCCTTGAAGGAAAATGCGCCGGTATACTCCCTATTATAATTCCAAGGAATTTCGCATAGTGCCAATTGAAGTTATGTGTTTAGCATAATTTTCCCTTGGATAAGGAACGCGGCCTACCTATAGCTCTGCTGATTTGCTGAAAATATCACTCACTGCCATTTACACACCAAACAGTGTCGGATGGTGCTGAGATTTTAGTCGCCTTTTAGTTCTAGTAATATATTTTGCTTCTTTCTAAGGGTTAGAAAAGTTTATTCTAAGCATTATTGAATTATTTAGGAAGGTCCTTCGATAGTTGGGTAGAAACCGTTTTAAATAAAATTAAATAATCTTTCACTGGATCATGTCTTCGTCTAGTTAGTTATATATTTCAATTCATTTTCCATACGTCTGTAGTTTAAATGTATCTGTACAAGTTCCCTATGAATAGATATGATCCAAGTAATTTTTTATCTTTCTAATAACACTGATGTTCAGTGATAATGAAGTTTCATTTATGGCCTTTCAACTATTCTCATCTGAGAAGGTAATTACAATTTTGTTTATAACGTGCAAAAATTACAGTGCATTTAATTACGAACCAATGGAAATTAATTAAAGTGAACAAAGTAATTATTATCCATAATAATAGTCGTATATATATTATATATTATATATTATATATATCTATATATATATATATAAATGAATAAAGAAGAATATGTATATATAATATAGAAAACAATAAAAGAAAATTACTACGAAATCTACAACCGCATCTATTATGCCAAAAATTAAAATACTCATACCACAATCCTACCCCCTTTCTTCTAATAATATCTGCCCTGATGCTGCTTAATATTGTTCCGCTATTGTTCTCGCATTTAAAACAAAAGGCACAGATTTCAATTGTTTGTTCTATTGTTTACAAGGATTTTAGAGAGCAGTTTTAAGTTCCTTTGTTTGGTATTATAAAAGCAAAGCAAATACTATACATAAAAAATTGGAATATATAGAAAAAAGCTTTCAAACCCACAAAATATTAAAAATATAGCAAATGTGCCTTTTTTTCTGAAAGTACTTGATTCATCTTTGAATTGCTCAATGACATCAACGGGATTACACAGTAGCGTTCCTAAAATGCTTTAATTTGTAGTTAAGATATTATTTAATAATTATAAATTTTAATATTTTGTTTATAAAATGCATCAAGAGTAGTAAATTATATTTACCAATAATAAATACTTAAACACATTGACTAAGACAAAGTACAGAGACGATACAGAGACGATACTATTGATAACTGATAATTGGAAATTTGATTTAATAAAAAAAATTTAAAAGATGATAAAATAAAATAAAATAAAATAAAATAAAATAAAATAAAAAAATAAATAAATTAAATATAAAATAAAATAAATATAAACTTAAAATAAAATAAAATACAAAATAAAAAATAAAAAATAAAACTAAAATAAAAAAAATAAAATAAAATAAAATCAACATAAAAAATATTAAATAAAAAAAAATAAAATAAAAAATATAAATAAAATAAAATAAAATAAAATAAAATAAAATAAAATAAAATAAAATAAAATAAAATAAAATAAATAAAATAAAAAAAATAAAAATAAAATATTATTAAACCTATTAAAAATATTATATTATTTTTCCTAAATTTTCCAAATTCTATTTTTTATAAAATCCGCCTATGTTTTACATATTTTGCAAACATGTGCTCACACCTCAGCACATGTTGCAGGATAATGCCTAAGGACACTTCAGAAACAATGTCAGTAGCGTGTGAGCCACTGAGTAAAGCACTGTCGATGGCAAAGCATACTAGAACGCCTCATCGACTTTATGTGCCTTACCTACTACAATAACCAATATTTTCCAGAATTCAAAAGTAGGCAAAGAATTTCGCACAAATCATTGTCCTTATGAATTTCTGAATATCTGTAAGCTATTGTGATTATGTTGTGTGTATATGTTCACTACTAGGAATGCGAAAAATCACTGAGTAACCAGTAAGTACTCTAAGTGGTTAGTGGTAGACACATGTCAATTTGTACAGGCACTGAGTCGCACATTTTAGGCAGAAAGGCAGTAAAATATTTCGCATATGCCATTTTTTGGGTTTTTATCATATGAAGGGTGTAGATAATTGTTTTTAGCATATATTTGTATATGAAAGTATATAAGCGATTATGAACATACATATAGTTTAAGTCTTATTTATATATTCAAAGACCTTCAAATTACTACGAAATTA